CTTAAAAAGATGAATTAAGGGTAAATTAAATAAAGGGTGAATTAAACATTTAATTTGTTCTTTGAATCCCTTCTGTAAAATATAGAGACTAGTTCTCAGAACCTTTTGAGTCCTCTGTGTTCCGGAGATCACATAAATTCACTCAGATTTCATCCAGGCTGAAGCCACCATAGTTCCTAAAATCTCCTCCATGGTTTGACTTTTCTAAGTGGGTAGAAAATTTGATTCCAGAATGTAGAAATCTGACATAGACTCTACAGATACATAGGATTTGTTCCAGTTATTTTGTATGTATTAGGAATAGCAGATTCTTCAAGATGAGATCGTTTTTTGCAAATAACTGCTATCAACGGGAACAAATAGTGCTCTCTTCAGGTCAAAGAGATTATTACAGAGGCAGTTTCTAGGACTTCTCTGTATGGAAAGAACTTGGTTTAGGAAGAAATGTATTCTAGATGTAATCTTTTTATAAGTTTCAGATTTATGTTTCCACTAAATCAAAAGACTTGGATGTTTAAAATGTACCTGTCCTTTCCTTTATCACTGCTTTCTTAAATTCTACCTTGTATCACATCTTACCTCCTCAGAGAAACCTGTTTCTTTTCCTTGATATTCTTTCAGAAATATAGCATGATTATAATTTAAACTTTAAGCATAATATTTGGGTCTTATTAGCACTTATTTTGTGCTTAATACTGTGCCAAGAGCAGTGAGGAATTATGAAGGGTACAAGGCAAATTCTATCTGCATAGAGAATATGATGTATTTAGGGGGAAAGATGAGTGTCTGGAAACAATAGCAAATGCCTCAAGAAGGTATGTCACTGAAAGTCAGATTGTTTGGTTCACAGTTGATACTGTATGACATTTGGAAGGGAAGGCATTAAAGGATACTTTGATTATTAAATAAGAACTCTTAGAGAGAAGAGAGATTTCTGGTGGTCATTATAAGATTAATATGGGTTAAGCAGTCTGAAATACATAAAAATTTGGGTGGGTAGAACAACCAGTAAAGAAATGCTAATGCCAGCAATGAGATTAAGTGTCTTTGAGCCAGTAAGGAGAAAAAACTGACTAGAAGAGAGACATATTTTGGGAATAGCTAGGAATGAAATTTAAATAGTTAAGCATCAGAAGATTTCAGGAGGGGAAATGAGAGACAGTTGAAAGAGCTTAAACTTGGTAAGTAAAGTTTTTGAACACTGAAAATACATGATCACATATCTGCAGAGATTGGAGTTTAGTAAATGTGATCTGCCTTATCATCTTTTGAAAAAAAATAAGGTGATATCTTTTTTTTTTCTTTTTACAATTACTCAAATATTCACTCGCCTTTTTATTAGCTCAGCCCAGTAAGGTTCACCTTGAGCTCTCCTCTGTTCTTTCTTTGTTAAATTTTCAAGAAATCTTTGGCTTTCCAAAGATTTCTTGTATTAGTTTGATTTCTCTCCAAAACAGAGCCTGAAACTACCTTGGGTGAAGGTAGTTTACTAGGAAGTGATCTCAGGATGCAGGAATGAGAAAGTAGGTAAAGCAGGATGCCCACTGTCACCAGTTTTATTCGAAATAGTACTGGAAGTCCTAGCCAGAGAAATTGTCAAGAGAAAGAAATAAAAGTCATCCAAATTGGAAAAGAGAAAGTCTGTTTGCTGATGCTATGTCTTATACTTAGAAAACCTTCAAGGCTCCTCCAAAAGACTCCTAGATTTGATAAGTGAATTTAGTAAAGTTTCAAGATACAAAATCAATGTACAAAATAAGTAACATTTCTATACACCAGTAACAACCAAGCTCCAAACCAAATTAAGAACTCAGTCCCATTCATAATAGCCACAAAAATACCTAGAAATACATTTAAACAAAAAGGTGAACTATTTCTATTAGGAAAACTAGAAAACGCTGATTAAAGAAATTGTGGATGACCCAAATAAATGAAAAAACATCTCATGCTTATGAACTGAAAAAAGAAATATTATTAAAATGACCATATTGCCCAAAGCAATATGTAGATTCAATGCAATTCCTATCAAAATACCAATATTATGTTTTCACAAAATTAGGAAAAAACTCTAAAATTAATATGAAACAAAAAAAGAGCCTGAATAGCCAAAGCAATCCTGAGCAAAAAGAAAAACCTGGATGCATCACATCACCTGACTTCAAATGGTATTACAAGGCAATAGTACCAGTACAGCATGGTACTTGTATAAAAAATAGACACACAGATTAGTGGGACAGAATGCAGAACCCAGAAATAAAGCCATATACCTACAACCAACTGATCTTTGACAAAGTAGACAAAGACATACACTGAGGAAAGGACACCCTATTCAATAAATAGTGCTGGGAAAATTAGATAGCTATCCACAGAAGAATGAAACTGTTTGTCTCGCTATATACACAAAGTAAGTCAAAATGGATTACAGACTTAAATATAAAACATGAAACCATAAAAATTCTGTAAGAAAACCTAGGAAAAATTCTTCTGGATATTGGCCTAGGCAAAGAATTTATGACTGAGTTCTCCAAATAAATGCAACAAAACCAAAAATAGACTAATGGGACTTAATTAAACTAAATAGCTTCTGCACCACAAAATATATAATCAACAGAGTAAACAGCCTACAGAATGGGAGAAAATATTTGCAAACCATGCATCCGACAAATGACTAATATCCAGAATTGACAAGGAACTCACACAACTCAACAAGCAAGAAACAAATAAGCCCATTTAAAAGTGTGTAAAGGACATGAACAGATAATTCTCAAAAGAAGACATACAAATGGTCAGCAAACATGAGAAAATGCTTAATATCACTAATCACCAGATAAATGCAAATTAAAACCACAATGAGATACCATCTCACATCAGAATGGCCACTGTTAAGAACTCAGAAAACAGCAGATGTTTGGTAAGCAGGCGGAAAAAAAGGGAACACTTATACACCGTTGGTGGGAATGTAAATCAGTACTACCTCTATGGAAAACAGTGTGAAGATTTCTCAAAGGACTAAAAATAGAATTACTCTTCAACTGAGCATCTCACTACTGCATATCTACCCCCCAAAAAGAAATTATTATATCAAAAATATACCTTCACTGGTATGTTTATCACAGCAGTAGTCACAATAGAAAAGATATGGAATCAACGTAAGTGTCCATCAATGGATTATTAAATAAAGAAAATATCACACACACACACACACACACACACACACACACACCCCATGGAATACTACTCAGTCATAAAAAGAATAAAATCATGTCTTTTATAGCAACATGAGGACATTATCTTTAGTAACTCAGAACTGGAGGCCATTATCTTAAGTAACTCAGAAACAGAAATTCAAATACTACATATTCTTACTTACAAATGGAAGCTAAGTAATGCATAGACATGGACAAAGAAAATACACATTGGAGACTGGAAAAGGTGGGAGTGTGGGAAGAGAATGAGGAATAAGAAACTGAATTAGTACAATGTACACTATTCAGGTGATGGTTACATTGAAAGCCCATATATCACCACTATACAATATATCCATGCATGAAAAGTGGCACTTGTACTCCCTTGATCTATAAAAATAAATTATAAAAGAAGAGAGTGGGTTGAGCAATACTTGACTTGAGTGTGACTTGATTCTTGTAGGATCTCCCAAGAAGTATATAGGTTGCCTCTCAGAATTGTCTACTTAAAGGACACAAAGCTAGTGCATTTATCCCCGGGCTCTTTTTCCCCATTGGTTGGTGTTTGCCAATGAGGTAGTAATTTCCCTGTAATTTCAGGCTGTGATTGCCCTTAAATTAAGGGATCTCTTGAGATATTAGAGAAGGCCCTGGGGTAGAAATCAAAACAAAACAAAATGCAGAATGTGCTTAATGTTGGATGTTACCAGCATGAGGTGAGTGTGATTATCTACCACAACTCTAGCTAAAATCAGAGAGGCACTTGGAAGGGACAACAAGGCACATATGAGATCAGTTACAGTCCTTTATTTGCACTACTCAGATGCATGCTTGCCCTATATTATTTCCACTGTGTCACTGTGTCTTGAAGGTTGTTTCTGGCTGCAATTTCTTCAATGCATTTAATACAGGAAGGTTGCATGACATGAGCTTCTGTTCTGTAAAACTTCATTGCTGAAGAGTCTCAGTTCTTGGTCACGTTGCCCTTTTCAGACCTTGTTGCTGCAAGAACTGCTGCTTGCTGTTTGTATTGGGCATGGAGACACCAATGTAAAATACTCACATTATAGCCACAATCCTCCTCACCCTCCTGTGTCACAGCAACATGGTGCTTCGTGATAATCAGGGTCAATTACCCCTTCCAGTCTAATAGCTCCTCTCTTTGCCTGCTGGGCTATTGGCACAGGGAGTTCGGAGTGACCTAAAAGCGGCAGCCATAGCTGCAGGTTACTGAATCCCTGGAGGGAGCATCCTTTCTTGGGAACTAGGACCTCTAATCTAGCAGAACCTAAGGCTGTGGGAAAGGGAAACACAAATTTGGAGCTATAGGGAGTGATATGAGAGGACTCTAGTCTATGTCTATGACTTAGTTTCTAAACTTTTGCGACAACACCATGTATCAGCCAACACCATGTATCAGGCATAGCATTCCAACCACTCAGGGGTTGCCCATGAGCTGGCCCTTCAGCGGAGCCTTTCAAAGCCTTTTCATCATTCTTCTGGGTTCTACTGCAGTGGACTTAGGTCATCTCTTAAGTCTGCGGTGGGCCCAGTGGGTCCCCATTCTGGTTATGCCACCATTGTCGCACCTGTTGTGTTCTAAAATGGGTACCTTGTTCTGAGGAAATGCAGTTTTGGACTAGATAGACAAAAGAACAAGCAACAGTTAACAAATGGAAAAGGTTTAACATTCCTGAAGGTAATAGTGCCCAGGCAAATTATAAAAATTTTCTGGACAGAGAAAATGCTTAGGAAGTCTAACCTGTAATAAGTACCTTAGTGAAGGCACTTTGTAAAACTGGAAAGCACTAAACATGTCATTATCTTTACTGTTACTTTAAGGATTGAAGTTGCAGACATCCATCTCTTTGAGTTTCTTATAGGAGAAGAAAGAGAAGAAGCCTTTATTTCCAAGAGAAGTCATTGATTTTCTATACCTATTATCCCACCACTTCCCTTGCACCCTATGACGTTTGCACAGACTCTGAGTTCTGAGGTTTCTGTAAGCCTCTCCCTGTTGCTTGTCTCACTGTGTGCTCCCATAAGCACAGAAATACATGGCGGTGTCCCCCAGCTGTACGTCTGAGATCTTGAGACTGAAGAATTTGGCTGCTTTCTGGAAGTTCACAGAGAAACGATTCTCCGTTGCATTCTGTGGCTTAAAAGCTTCTTGGCGAATAATGAGAATCATCTGCCTACTGGGAGGCTGCTTGTACCAGAACAAATAATAATTACTTTCACTGGTGTCATATGTGCAGTTCAGGGTCACGGTTTCTGCCTCCTGCACAGACATCTCTGGTTGAGACTGAGTGACTGTCTGGGCCATGCTGGATTCTGTGGGAAAGAGGAGAGAAAAGACTTCACTGGGATATCATGTCAGAGAGAGAAACAGACTCACAAGCTGATTCCCATGCCCACCCACCTTTCTTTGTGATTCCAGCCTCAGGTAGCATATTTCTCCCTCCAGGGACCTGGGCTCTAAGAAGCAATGCAGTTGCTGTTCTGTTAATCCCTCTTGCTTCCCAGCCCCATTCGATGCCTTTGTAAAGAAAGACCTACATCTTCCTTACCAAGACAGGTGGAGACCATGACTGTCCACAGCAAGCTAGCACGTGTCATGCTGACAGCGCTCCTCTGCAGAGTGAAAAGTCTCCTGCTCTGATCTGGGTTCCTCTGTGCTTGGTGAGAATTCTCCTTCAAAGCAGGAAATGCTATGATAGGTGGGTGGGTGACTAAGTTTCAAGGAGGGAGGTGTTTCCGAATACTTTTTTCTCAGAAAATAGGCCTCTGGTTATAATTTCACATGAAAATAAAAAATGTTTCTGGAGTGATTTTAGTGAGCCTAGAAGTAAATAAAGAGGAAATGGAGCTGACAAATTTGTTTTTGATAAGACCTAATCTTGGAGGGGAGAACCTGACCCAGAATGGTGGGCAGAAGCCTCTGACTCCATACAAATAGCCACGACAAATGGCAAACCCTGTGATTTTATTTTTCTTCTTATTTAAAAAAAATAAAAATTATAAAGCAAATCTTACGAAATAAAAGCACTTAATTTTAAGGTGATAAGAATATACCTGTTTATATTCAAATTTTACATTTTTATAATTTCCCAAAGAATGAGAAAAAAGATATACTTGTAACTGAAAAGAGCATTGACTAAATTCAGAGATAAATAAAAGCAGAATATGTAGTGTCTAATTGTGCTCACATTTTACATGGATTAAAAAAATAACCTTGTTGGTCAGGCACAGTGGCTCACGCCTATAATCCCAGCACTTTAGGAGGCTGAGGCAAGCAGATCACTTTAAGTCAGAAGATCAAGATCATCCTGGCCAACATAGTGAAACTTCATCTCTATTAAAAATACAAAAATTAGCTGGGCATGGCAGTCTGTGCCTGTAATCCCAGCTACTTGGGAGGCTGAGGCAGGAGAATCACTTGAACCCAGGAGGCAGAGGTTGCAGTGAGCTGAAATCGTGCCACTGCACTCCAGCCTGGGTGACAAGAGTGAAACTCCATCTCAAAAAACAAGCAAGCAACAACAACAAACCCCACCTTGTTTATGCTGTATCAAGAAGCTCTGAAATAACTATTGCAGAAGTTCTCATCAGCACTAAATTGCCTCAGTTTAATTTATATTTGTATGAAGAATTGCTCTCATCATTTTCATTCCATTTAAAAAAATATTGTGAAAAAAGAACATTTTAAAAACGTTACTCTGATTCTTTAGAATTTTGTATTTCCAGAGGGAGTGTCAGGGATCCTTATGTGATTCCTGAGTTGTGGTCCCTAAACTGGGCATATGAATGGGGCCCTGTTATGTATTGGGTGCTGTCTGAGGAGCATGTGTTCTCTGTAACAGAGGTAGGTGGCTGAGTGTCCCCAGTCAGAGAGATGCTCAAGGAGTTACAGGCACTGGGACCTGTCCTGAATGAGGCTGCTAAAATCCCTTGTGCTGCAAAGCTCAGCTTAATAGCAATAAGAGAAGGGACACAAACATTTCTTCTAGATAATCTTCACCCTTGTCCCATGGTTTGAATTCCTGTATCTTGATTTTGGATCCCTAAAAGTCAACTTCAACACAATAATTTGTGTGTGAATAGTTTATTGCAGGTGATTCTAGGAAACTGTAGACCAAAATTAAAATTCTAAGGCCTTCCAGGTCCCCGAAACCATCTGAGTGGACTTCTTTCTTGACCAGGGCTCTCTTCAAATTTAACTTGAAGGGTTGGTCCAGGCCATGTGGGAAGTAGGAGTCAGACATGCTTCATTATACCTCTTAGGCATTAACATCAATGCAGACTTTAAGTCTGACAAGAAGCATTTACAATTAATTCTCTCTGAAACCTGCTACTTGGAGACTTCATCTGTCTGATAAAACTTTGATCTCTACAACCTCTTATCACAATCCAGACGTTTCCTTTCTATTAATCCCAGGTCTTTAGATAAAATCAGCCAATTGTCAACTGGAAAATTTTTAAATCTACCTATAAACTGGAAGCTCCCCACTCCCACAGACCCCCCTACCCATTGCTTCAAGTAGTCCCACCTTTCTGGACCAATGTATTTCTTAAATGTGTTTGACTGAAGTCCCATATCTCCCTAAAATGTGTCAGCCAAGCTGCACACTGACCACCTTGGCACATGTTCTCGGGACCTCCTTAGGGCTGTGTCACAGGCTGTGGTCACTCATATTTGGCTCAAAATCAATCTCTTTAACCATTTTACAGAGTTTGACTCTTTCTGTTGGCAAAACATGGGTAGGAGGTAAATCAGGGAAGGAGGGAAGCCAACACAGATGTGCCTAGGCAGTTACCCCTATGGGCAATTGCAGCTTACTGCAGCTGCATAATGTTAGGGGTAGGAGGTTCTGAGTTACTGGTGGCGAATCCATACAGGTCTGCAGCAACCCCAATTCTTGCCTTGTCAGAAGAAAGAATTTGACTGAGGGACATAAGGCAGAAAGATAAACCAAGGCAAGTTTCAGAACAGGAGTGGAAGTTTATTAAAAAGCTTTACAGCAGGAAAGAAAGGAAAGTACACTTGGAAGAGACCCAAGCAGGCAACTTGAAGGACAAGTGTAGCCTTTCACCTTGATCCTAAGATGTTATATACTGACCCACCTCCAGCATCTTGCACTGCTTTCCCATGATTCTGCCCTTAGGATGGGCTGCCTGCATGTGCAGTGCCCTCCTTACACTTGGGAAGTGGGCATGAATGGTGTGTTTAGGAAGTTGTATGCATGCCCATCAGAGGCTTTCTTCCTTTTTCTGCTGGAATGCCCCCAGAAGGTCATACTCCACTGTTTTGTCTCTTAATGTGCATGCTGGGCTCACTTGCCCAATTCCTGAGATTTTATTGGAAGCAGATTACCGATCTCAAGTGTCTCTCTGTTGGGGAAGTTGCCAATAATAGTTTGCTGCCAATTATCATTTTTAGAGAGGCAATATGATAACTGCCAACCCATCACCTAACGATTCCTGGTGGGCGGAGGGGAGAGCCCTCTTGTGCCCCATTCCTGCCTGTCTAACTACCTGACACAATAACTCTGAGGGACAGCATAGCATATTCTTTGGAGCTTTGCCAAATGAGTCATGAAGAAACTGGAGTAATCATGCCTAAACTCACTGTCTATCACTGATTAAGAACTGCTCTTGGGGCACTAACTCTTTTGCATTTCTGGCTTATCCTCCACACCGTCCACATTCATGGCCAGAAAGTCAAAGTTGTCTTCAGGGTTGCTGGAATTTTCAGCGAGTGGTGTTCAGTGTGTTGGCGCGACTGCCTAGGAGATATGGGTAGGGCACCAACAGTATCTATACAGTTCACTCCTTGCCTTGCTCAGATCCACTTGTGCTCTGTGTTAAGTCCACACATATTACTGTTTTTTTTTTTTTGACAACAAGAGGGTTAATGGGACAAGTTACGATTGCTATAGTGGGTTCCATGACTGCAATTCATATTTATTGTCTTCTCCATCTACCTTCGACTCTGCTTATTCTTGATTCTCACCACCTTTGGCTAACATTTTTTTTCTAATACTCTAGATTTCTTTTCCAGGGAGATAATCTAGACCTTCATTACTGAGGAGTATAAGCCCCTGGTTAGTCTGCTCTTCTCAGGCTATAATTGTTACAGTTGCCTATTTACAATAATCACTGACATGAGAATGTTAAAAGTCATCCCACTGAATTCCCTGAGCTGTAGACATGTTTCCCCAGCTCCTTTGTGGGGTTGCGCTTCATGATAATCAGGATCAGTTGTCCCTGCCAGAGTAGTAACTCCTTTCTTGGCCCTCAGGACTGGCATGAAGATCCCCAAATTATGAGGTAGTATATGTTACCTTGGGTTTGGCAAAAACCTTTCTGTTTCCCTAGCAGAAGCAGCATCCTCCCTTTTCCCCCTCAAAGGGAAACAGATTCACTAGTCCAGCAGAACCTATGGTTATAAGAATAGGAAGCACAAAAGTGGGTTACTAAAAGTGGTGGTTGATGGGGTGATAGTTCTATTTCCACCCCTTGGCACCCAGGTCCATGTATTTTATATAACAAGGACACAACACTATCTTGTAGAATAGCTTTTCAACCCCTCAGAGTGCTACGCCTAAGTTGGTGCTGTAGCTGGGCCCTTAAGTGTTCATTCCAGAGTTCTATCAGGCTAGTGGTTCATGGCTAATGCTATATGATGCAGCTCTATGCTATATGACATGCCCATTGTCACAAACCCACAAACCCTTGATATACAGTGGGTCTGTTGATGCAAGAGATGTGAAATCTCTTGATGATCAGAATAACCAATCTGGGCCCTTAAGTGTTCATTCCAAAGTTCTATCAGGCTAATGGTTCATGGCTAATGCTATATGATGCAGCTCTATGCTATGTGACATGCCCATTGTCACAAACCCTTGTTATAAAGTGGGTCTGTTGATGCAAGAGATGTGAAATCTCTTGATGATCAGAATAACCAATCAGATACTCTGAGCCCTCACTTCATGCAACTATGTGTAGCACTTTGGAGGAGACCACAAATTCACACCCAGAATATATATTTATAAGAAAAAAATTCCTGATACCTCCAGAGTGGAAGCGGTCCAATGTAATCAACTTGCCAACTAGTGTATGGTTGTTTCCTTTGAGGGATGATTCCACATTGAAGGCTCAGTGTTGTATCTACTGCTGTCAAGGTGGACATTTGGCAGTGAGACAGCCAGGTGGGAGGGGGTCCCTGGAGAAACTCCAAGCGGCCTGTGGACTAGGGTAGAGCCACAGACGTTTGCACTCTTTGCAGTGGGGAGGAGCCAGGCTCTTCTTCTTCCTGTGTGTAACTTGGGACTCGAACTGCTGGCTGGGAAGTTTTCTAGTGGGGACCCTGGACTTGCGAGAGTCCTTGTTTCCCCCTTTTCTTCCTTTTTACCCAATAAAACCCTATCTTACTCACCATACAAATTGTCTGAGAGCTTGAATTTTCATGATCATGGGACAAAGAACCTCATCTTTAAACTAAGGAAAAGTCCTGCCGCAGCAGTAGAAGCAGTTAAATCTGTCTTGGTGGGAGAAAACCCAGGCTTCTGGGCTTATAAAGAAACTCAATTCTGTCACCTCAGCTAATCTGTTCATGGGTCTATTGTTTAAGAAATTGACAAGGACAGACATCCTCTGGCTGGCCAACATTCTCTGGATGGACCATCTATCCACATGGTTATTCAATGCTTCCTCTGTAATGGGTGTTTTCTTGTGGGTATTGATATAAGACACAATGATCAAAACAGTTTTTGCCGAAATTCACTGTTCCTTCAGTTCAAAGTCATCACTAAATGTGACTTACCCTCCTCCCACCCACCTGCTCAGGGCTCTGACCCTAAAAAAGAGCAGGGTGCTGGACTCACTGTTCATGACCTCTGGTGACATCACTGACTTCCTTTCCAGCTAGCTGGTTGATATTTTATCCCTTTTAAGGAAAAGACAGCTTTTCTACCATGTTGTATTCTCTTTTCCTTTAAATGCTTCGTGCCGTTTTCCCTCAGATTTTGGTAATTGATCTTCTAAGCCAATGTTTTTGGCATGTCAAAATATTTTTTCTTTCACTACTGAAGTTGATGGTCATGGCTTTCAAGATTTTGTATCTCCTATATCTTTGTAAAAGTCTACATAGAAGCTCAAAGACAATAATTTTACTCTTTCTTTGTTCCTTAGTGCTCTCTCCTTTTTGATATTTAGCCTCTCATTTTTGGATTAGTTTTCACAAAGGAAGGGCCTCACACTGAGAAACAAAATACTTTAGGTAGTGTTTGAAAACATTATCCCTCTGCACATGGTCTTCAAATGAAATGTTTGATATTATGTTATAAAACAGCCCCTCATATTTCCTTTTGCACACAGCAGAGTTATAGTCAGTGCCCCAAGGGCCTTATAAATGGAGGTGTGCCCTGGTTTCTCATAAAGCTTTAGGTATAGGGTGCAGGTGACTGTGGGGCACTGTGTACTTGCTGCACAGAAGAATGTGCTTGAGTCATGGAGCTGGGAATCCTGTATGTGCAGAGAAAAGTGCTGGTCTTTTTTTTCAAGACTGGCTGTGAATCTTCCACTGATCTTCTCTCTCACATTTGATAGCATTTGTATCAGGGAAATGAGGCCTTCCTCGGGATCCTGCCTGAACCACTGGAAGAAATCTGAAGCACTATCTCTGTAACTGCAGTTCAGTGTGACGCTGTCGCCTTCCTTTACTTTCAGGGAAGGAGGATTCTGTTCCACTGGCAGTTGTCCATTTGACCCTGCTTAGGAGGAATGAAATATTTTCATATATATTTAGTTTGTTTGTTTCATTATTTGTTTTACATTCCTGAGAGTAGACCCAAGATTGTCCCTGAGATCCTTCTAGATTTCAGTGCCAGGGCTACCCCAACTTTCCATTGCTTGCGTGTCTCCTCCCCTCCTCACAACTCCCCTGACTCACAGGTCAGCTGTGCACACAGGACCACCAGCAGGGTGCTCATTGGAGTTTCCATTCTTTCCTTTTCCTGGAGCCTCTGTGAATTCAGTTTGGAGCCTGGGAATTGATTGTGTTCACTAGGCCTAGTTCACTGCTCTAGAGTCTTCTGGCTCTTTTGGTTTGGTAGCCTTTGGGGAATCTTCATTCCATTTCTACAGCCAACCAAAACCTCACTGTTACATCGGACACGTCATTGAATGCCCTCCTCCTGCTGTTACCTTCCTCTTGTTCTAGTTTCCGGCAGTGCCTCTGTCAAGGGAAGCACTGCCCCCAGGTGGTCTGAACTCAAAAAAATTCTTTTTTTCATTTCCCCCTTAATATAAAATAACTCATTATGTTAAATGAAAGGTAGATAGAACAATACAAAGGGGCAAAGAGCAAAAAAAAAAGGAAAGAAATGTGGAGAAATAGGAACACTTTTACACTGTTGGTGGGAGTGTAAATTAATTCAACCATTGTGGAAGACAGTGTGGTGACTCCTCAAGGATCTAGAACTAGAAATACCATTTGACCCAGCAATCCCATTACTGAGTATATGCCCAAAGGATTGTAAATCATTCTGTTATAAAGACATATGCACATGTATGTTTATTGAGGCACTGTTCACAACAGCAAAGACTTAGAACCAACCCACATGCCCATCAAAGATAGACTAGATAAAGAAAATGTGGCACATATACACCATGGAGTACTATGCAGCCATAAAAAAGGATGAGATCATGTCCTTTGCAGGGACATGGATGAAAGTGGAAGCCATCATTTTCAGCAAACTGACACAAGAACAGAAAACCAAATACCACATGTTCTCACTCATAAGTGGGTGTTGTACAATGAGAACACAGGGACGCAGGGAGGGGAACATCACACAGCAGGACCTGGGGAGTGGGGGGCTAGGGGAGAAATAACAGAGGGTAGGGGGATTGGGGAGGGATAGCATTAGGAGAAATATCTAATGTAGACGACAGAGTGATAGATGCGGCAAACCACCACCATGGCACATGTATACCTATGTAACAAACCTGCACGATCTGCTCATGTACGCAGAACTTAAAGTATAATAAATAAATTTTTTTAAAAAAAGAAAGAAAGCAAACAGTGTTAAAAGGAAAGTTTTCCCAGTTATAAGACTGTCTGAAAATCCTTAACACCTGAAACTCCCTCACTCCCCTCACCTTTAAAGAAATATGCAGGCTCTTTGCCTCTTTGGCACTGTAGTACATTCTGAGGGGGGTAGGAATAGGTTGGGAGAAGACCTGATTATTTCCCTTAATTGATTATTTTCCTCTCAGAGCTCCATTATATGTCTCAATCTCAACAGGTTTAAATAAGTTAAAAGAGTTAGACCTTTTCCAAATTCTCGCAAAAAGACAAAGGAGGGAAATGTAGTATCCTTTCTTTTAGGATTTTTTCAGGTGTGAGAAAGCAGTCTAGTAGCTAGCTAACTCTGAGCATGCTAGTGCCTTTGCAGACATCCAAGTGCTTTATATTTAACTCTGGGCTCCCGTGCACATTCTGGTAATAACTTGTGTTTTACATATTAGTTTTCTGAAACTCTATTTTATGGTCTCCTGCACTTGTAGCAATGACTAGGGACTCAAGATGAGGCGAGGATAGGGAAGAAAGCTCTCATCTATTCTTTGCATCCAGTTCTCACCTTGCGGAGCCTAGGCGCCTACCTATAACCCTCCCACATTTTCTCAGCTATATTTCTTGGGTAAAGCCCTGGCCCTGGCAAATCTATCCTCATTCTTTTCTTCATTTCTTTCTGTGGTCATCAGATAAGTGTCTGAGCCTCTACACGGAGCCTGTGAAGAATAAGGGAATCTTTGATGTTAATTGTGGATATCACTCTTCCATTCTTCTTTATGTATGAAACTATGTAAAACAAGGAGACTCTACTTATCTTAGCACTTTTTGTTTCTTTGTTTGTTTTTTGCACTGTGTTATTGTAGCTTAGACTAGAGTTAGCTTTCTCCTGGACCTGCAGGGGCTGGGTAAGACTGGACTCTACCTTCTCCTGTCTTCACATTTCTGCTTGAGAAAAAACAACAGACACATGAAGTGGTCACTGGAGAATCTGGCTATTTGTAAATTGGTACACTTTTTTAGGAACCTTATTCTTTTTCCCAATCAGATCATCCTCACATCACATTAAGTCTGAAACCACAAAAATGCTAACAAAACCTCTAGATTTCTTTGCGAATTTTTTTCTATTGATGAAGATACCAGGAATGTCCTCAAAGCAGGGGATTTTTTTTCCTGAAAAGAATAGAGGAGCTGTTTTAGTTGCTTGGAAGAAGTAGCATTTACATGAGAGTTCCCCTTGGAATTTTTCTTCTCTCCTGTCTCTGGTATGTGATTTCAACATTCTAGGTAAGTACTAGCAGGTATATGTCTAGCTATAGATGATTAACAATTTTCCTGAGCAATGTTGGACGGGGGTTGTGGCAGCTAAACAATAAATGTTAAGTGTCATTACTTCACTAAATTCACTTAATCCTGTGGAGATGTTTAATAAAATGTACAAAATAGAATATGCTAATTATCCACTTGGAGAGATAAGAAAAGCATGCCCAAAAACAGTCAGCTAGCTCTAGGGGGCAGTGCATGATTGACATCAGCAGTTATTACTCTAGAAGCGAGGTACAGGAGCTAAGCATTTGTAGGTAAGAGTTAGTAACTTAACAACTGACACAAAAGCTAACAAGAAAAATCATGTGATTATTGGTGCAGAAAAGGAATTTGACAAAATACAACACAGATTCATGTTAAACACTGAAAAATAAAAACTAATAACTAATTCTTTAACATAAAACTGGCATACACCATCACCCCAAACCAGCAGGCTTTCCTATTAAAGTAGGTGAAGGAAAAAGATGTCCATTACCTCTACTGCTATCTATCATTGTGTTGGAGCTACTTGCTAATGCAGTCAGCCCAGAGAAACAATTCGAAGCATAAGAATTGAAAAGAAAGATAAAATATCTGCATGTAAGTAGATAAAATGATTGTACATCAGAAAACCTAAAAGAGCACAAAGACCACTACCAAAAGACTGGCTACAGTATAAACATTTTAAAAATTCCTGTCATTTGAATGCCAAAACAAAAAACAGTTAAAAGAAAATGTAGAAGAAAAGAGCATATTTTCTGTTGGACAAAGTGAAAAGAAAGAGAAAGAAAATTCTTAAGTGAAAATTAAGGGTAGGTAGACAGGTCAATTAAATGGAATAGCAAATCTGTAATATGGCCTAATTGTATATGGAACTTCATGTATGATAGTAACAGCATCTCAAATCATTGGTGGGAAATGACTTTCCAGTAAGTCCTTGTTCTAAGAGGAAAAACTTGTATTTCTTCTAGATATAAGTTTACTTGTGACAAATGTGACCATGATAGTGTTCCATTTAGGCCCACAGTCATTAAACTGGGGTCATGTACCTTGAGGCAAATGAAGACTTTCTTAAAACCAGCCTGCTCTAGAACATGCTTAAGGGTCTTGATGTCATGCTGCTGCTTCTTTCTTGTTTCTTTTTCCAACCTCCCCCTTCCCCCCTGCCCCTTCAATAAACGTATACATCTCAACCATCCAGAATGGTGCATTGTACCAGGGTGCTAAAAAAAAAAAAATCCCCAAGGTGCCAAATAAAGAGACAATTTATTATCTTCTGGCTTCTGACAGAGAGCCCTTAACAGCTAAGCAAGATATATTGCAAAACAAATATATTTCAACTGGTGAAAGCCTCAATGCAAGGTTCTTTACCAAATCCAACTATCTACTTTAGAATTAGAATTATGAAATGAGTTGGTTGTTACTGGAACGCATCATGTAACATTCTTATTTGAATTGAAAAATGAAGTCAGGCTTTATTTTTTCTGACAGAAAATAAATCTTATGTGGTCAGTTAGTTGACAATGTGGGGTGTGAGGGAAAGAGAAGAGTTAAAGAAGATTCTAGTATTTTTGGCTGTAGTGAATAGGTGAATTATATCACCGCACTGATTTCTTGAAATGGAGAAGAGAGAGGAATAAGCCTAAGGGAGGGAATACAGCATGTTGTGGAAATCTTACATTTTAGATGCCAGACAGACATTTGGCATAGATGTTATATAGATTATAGTATATATCAGCTAGGCTTTCAACAGAGAGGGTTGGATGGAAATATAAATCTGGGAGTCATCAATGTATGGATGGTAATTAAAACCATATTCCTAGATGAAATCACTTAGAGAGTGCATGCAGATGGCATATATGTTTGAGAGTTGAGCCCTGAGACAACACAGTATCTAGAAGTAAGCAAGAGGAAGGTGAGCTAGAAAAGGAGGCTGAGGAGGAGTGGCTTGTGAGGTTGAAGCCAAACCAGGAAAGTGTGGCATCTCCAAATTCAAGCAGAGATAAGGAGAGAATGTTTCAAGGAGAGAATAGCCAAACTGTCAAATTTTTCTGAGAAATTTAATAAGAAAAAACATGATAATGGATCGTTGAATTTGAGGCTATGAAAGTCATTGGTGACCTTAACAAAGTGATTCCAATACAAAGATAGAGATACAAATCTGCCTGGAATGGGTTTGGAGTAAGAAAGGGTGAGGGAGTAGAAATAGTGAATTTAGAAAGCTTTTAAAAAGTGTTATGTTATTAAGAGAGACAAGGAACTAAAAGGGTATGAGCTATTTTACCCATTGAGCCACTAATTCCAGTTCTAGGATGCTGTCTGAATGAAATGATAAAAAATTAAATTAAAATGTGTCTTTAAAGATGTTTACCACAATGCTATTTAAAATAATAAAATTTAGAAATAAATAATAAAAAATATCCCCAAACAGGCAAATTATAAAGGATGGTATGCCTATTGTGTGGTATAGTGGACAATTCAAATTAAATGCAAGACATTTTTAATTTAAAAATGAGAATAAAAGAACATAAAATTATTCTTACAATACATGCACTCTCTAAGTGATATTATAATATGCAAAAATGTGAAACAAGCAAAATAAGTAAAATAGAAACAAAAGTGGAAAAAAGGTAAAAATAGAAAAAGAGTTCTCATGTCTATATCGCAGAGCTATGTATTTTTAGTAGTTACCAAAATTTTTTCAATTTGAAATTCATAAAACACACATAGGGTTAACATGACTCTTATTTCCCATAATAAAAGTAGTCTAATGATTAGCTTCCTTTCCATAACTCTAGTTACTTTGACTAGAAAATGCTTCTGTGC